GAAATATGTCACTGGGAGGCGCGAAGGCCTCCCCGACCCGTTTGGTGGGTTTCGAGTGGCGTTTTGTCGCAGTTGGCGGATTCAACAGTTCAATTGACATAATGAGCTACATTTTGTTAACACCATGGATGGTGGAGTGGCGGAGTATCCTCCACTCAGAACTAAATTAATTAGTTTAAGGTCTGCAAACTGTTTCTTCCCCAAAAACTGCCTCCAAGACACAAGTCTGGCTCTAGCTGAGGTGGGATTATGCTTCCCGTTTGCAGACCAGCAGAGCTATGGGCCGGCGACTGGTTCGGCCTGTTTCCGAGCCGCTTTCCCGTTCTCTGAGGCCTCTCTTTCTGCCTCCGACCGTGTGGCAACATTTCAATTTGACATAATGAGCCGCAGGTAGAGACGCCCGAGAGGCGATGGCTCAGTGATGCGCACAGTCAGTTATCCATATCCACATCCGCATCCCGACCGGGCCGAGTCAAAATATGGTCAGGTAACTTACGGTAATTGCTGCGGCTACCGTCTGGCGACGTGTCTGCCTCAAATCCCGACCATACATCCCTAAATCTGAATGAGTCGCCCCGTGGCGCGACACTCGAAATGGGTTTTGGTGACAGAGTCTAGAGTCTGGGTTCAGCGGGCGGTCCAACCTGTTGAGCCGCCACTTGACATTGCGTGGAGTGGCTCTCGATTGGGTCCACCCCCTAGAAGTGTAATGGGACCCGGCAAGGAGCCACTCTCCCACATACAATCGATCTGCATGCTCCGCTTTTCCCAAATGAACTTGTTGGATTGTGCAATCCACTCAAGTGGCGTCTGGGATTTTCCTGGCCACTCGCTGGTGACGCCAGCGGCGACTATTTGAAGTCTTTCGGGTAGACTCCCGACTTTCCGGCTTTATAGATCGCACATAAAGTTTCGGTTCTTCTAGACGGCATCAGCATCCTCAGCATCGAGCTAAGGTCTGCTTGCGTAAGGTTCTTTATTGTCTTTCATGCTTAATTAGTCATTAAAACAAGGGTTATAAAAATGACACTCGTAAAGAGCCGGGCCAGTCCCAGTCATAGACGGAGTGGGCTCCAGAATAAGCTTTAAAAACGACGCCATTAAAGTGGCCACCGCGTTGCATGCAGCACGCCAAAAGCCACACGGGGGAGACGTCCGCGCCGTCGCCTGCACCTGAGCCTGCACTCACACACACACAGAGACACACACACGCCCAGGAGCACCCCTCCCATTATATATGGATGTGGCCAGGTGTCATATGGCGCAGCGGGTGCTCGGCGGCCACCGAAAACTAACTTGCCCCACCGAAAATCCCAGCGGGAAATGCAAAGCGCTCGCCACTCTTAATGAGCGCCTGGAGAGAGGCACGAGTTTCCCCGCTTTCCGCCCGGCTGGGGGCGGGGCTCCTCCCCCCTTTTGAAGCGCACGCGATAAACGGGCGTGGCATGTCGGTTGCTCCTTTATTTTCTGTTTCTGTTTCAGTTCTGTTTGGTTAACTCTCCCAACTAATTTTTGGCTGCACCGAGTCTCCCCCGGGCTCCCGCGGCTTGAAATTTAATATTTTCACCAAACAGTAGCCGCCTCTCACCTTGACAAGCCGCTGACACCTTGACTGAACTTTAAAATGCGAGAGAAAAAAATCAGAAACGAAAAATTAATTGCACTTTAATAGGTTGAGTGCCGGGGCTTCAACTGGCAGGACAGCCGGCCGAGTATCTTGAACTGCATTAATGAGTGGGGCGCTTCAGCTTTAAGATTTTAATATTAAAGCTCAGTACAGCACGAATGGGGTGTTTTATCGTCGAACAAAAAGCATTTTCATGTGAGTGCTTTGAGGTCGTGGCTTTCGGAGTATCATACTCGTAGGGCTCTGGAATCTATCCCCAAATAATGCTAGTGGTGTGCGACTCATCGGAGACCTCCAATATAGCTGTCTGTCGGGGAACGGAAATTCCAGGCATACTTCTCTAATTTCCCAGGTCAGTAAGCAGTTAATTAATGCCAAAAAGCACAGCCCCGATTCGAGGATATACCTGGTCGCGATGCCGATATCTGGCAACTGTCTTCTAGACCAGACCCGGAGCTCGGACACAAATGCATTTCAAACGCCGGACGGGGGGAGCGGGGAGTCCAGTTGGAGGCGACACAGGCGCAGGCGCACAGCTGTCTTGGGCCCGAAATCTCAGGTACGCAGCCGAGACCCTCGGCCGTAACATATTGATCTAGTGCCAGGGACCGAAGTGCAAAATCAGATAAGCTTTGGGATTTACGTGGCTGTCTGCTCGGTCTGTTTTGGGCATTTGGCATTTGGTCCGGCCGGGAATTTATGGATTGCGCCTAAATAACTTTATCACACCCCTTGCGGCTCGAACAGCAGCAGCAGGGACTCCGAGGCTCACCGGAAACGGGAAGGCAAAAATGTCAGACAGAGTCAGGCGACAGGGACTCGGATAGGAACTCGTAAAATATAGATAAGGGGCTTGTCTGCCATCGGCACTAATGGGAGGGGCCGTTGCAGCGCAATCAGTGTTTCCAGAAGGTTGCCTAAATATTTAAAGCTTCATCAACAATACACAACTTTTTCGGAAGAGTTGTCATCTGGTTGGCATGCTGGCTTTAATTTCTTCGCATTCACATTCAAATCAAGGCTGAGATGTCGCGGCCAGCCATAAAACCTAAACTGTAGCATGTCCGACCGATATTCAATCAATTTTTACACTGGCCGGCGAGACCTGGCATCATGTTATACAAAACTATTAAATGCTAGACAAAAACAATAGGAATTCCGAAGACCCAGTTCGGAGACCGGCTTAGAATGGCCATATAATTAATTATATGGCACTCTGAAGCGGAGCTCGTTACGTATACGAACCTCGTCTCCTTTCACTGACGCTTCAGCCGCACTCCGCGAATAAACAAACACAGATCAGAGATCTGTGGGTCGAGCATCACTCTCCCAGCCAACTAACCTGCCCCATCTGGGAGCTCGGTTCCATTCTCCTAACCTTTTACGGACGGAGCCTGACACTTACAAATTGTTCCCAAAATTGTTTAAACTTTTTCGGCGACTGGCCGAACATTTGCCCAATCAATTTTTCACAATTAGCTTTCGAAAGGCTGTTTCCCGATTTCTGATTAATATTCGATTAGTATTGATTCCCCTCGGAGTTTATTAAATTTTTGGCTAATTGGTGAGCTATTAAGGCAGAATCGTTTGATTTTTATGTCCGCGAATAATTGTCAATTTTTTATGGTCTTCGGCATTAAGTTGTACGACTTTATGGCCGCCTCGGAACTAGTCCACGCCCCGAAGTAGGCTTCAGTTTATTGAAAGAGACTTTGGATCTCTTTTCGTCATATTTAATTAATTTAACGACTACTTGAGAAGTTAGCAACGACATGTCGACTGCCCGCCCGATGCCCGCCGATGGGCCGGGGGCTGGGTGGCCCTGCTCCGTGGCTTGTGACATGGAAAACTCATTAAAATGTTTACAGCTCAAAAAATCAACAAACAAACAAAACTCTCGGCCGGACTTCGAGTGAGCCAACAAAGAGAGTGGCCTGGCCGGGAGGAGGCGGCGAAAATTACAAAAACTGTTTTCATTTCAAATATCGGCCCGAAACTACAGAAACCCAAGCACCGAGCTCCTCCGCCAAGCACTCTGCCAACTAAAGTGGATAGCGTAAAGTTTTCAAATTAAAATTTTCACGCATTAAATATTCAGTGAGCCGTCCGGCCGACAACTAATTCGAGTTTAAATTACAATTAAAGCATTTCAATGCAATTTCAGTGGCAGTGCCAGTGCCAGTGCCAGTATCCCTCCTCATCCATAATTTAGTTTCGAACAACTTTGTTGCGTTTATGATTATGATTTTTCGTGTTTTTGCCATTTTTTCGACAGTTTTTTCGGTGGTTTGGTGTTTTGCGGCTTTTGTTTGGTCGGAGAACTGTCAGGCCGGGCATTTGTCAGAATGTGGCATTCGGAATAGAATTTAAATAAAATATCCCGACCCGGCCGCTCTTTTTCTGACGCATTTTTTAATGACACTCTGGTTTATGAATTTATAAAGTGCATTTTGGTCAGCTTGTGACTAGACTAGCCCCGGCACTAGTCGCAGTCCCGCACGGGAGGAATTTTTGATAATGCCCTGCTCAGTTTGTGGCCCGCAATTGCTCCGCCGCTTAATTGCCGACATTAAAGTGTCATTCAACCGTTAATTGGCTCTGTATTATATGTAAAGTGTGTTTAAAATAAAATACGGCCACCATTTAAGTGTTATTGCCATCGGCGGATCATGAAGGGATGCCGAGCAGTCTCTAAGCCATTACAAGCCGTGATTTCTTGGCCCATTTGTCAAAAAATTAAGAAGAGAAATTGTCCATTCAGGTCCATAATTAATATTTATTTCATATTTAATTGTTAGCTGTAGAGGTTTGGCTATAAAGAGGTACGGCCGACCTTGTTCGCATTCGATTCGTTGCTCGAAAAAAGCACTTCAAGGCAAGAGTTGAACTTTTTAATGATTTTTGTTAAAAATAAACCCCAATTACAAGCGAACTTGACCCGCAGTTCAAGTTCTTCGGGTCTAAACCTTTCCGAAATCTCTCATATTTTCAAAGTGCAGACCTGTGCCTAAATAATTCCAAACTTTTTATGCGTTTTTTAATGGTTATCAAATCGGGAGAGTTGCGGTTCAGTGACTCCGATTCCCACTTAATGACAATTTAATTTTGATTCCTAATTCTGTTTTGGGCCTGTGACACACCATAAATAAGTCATTAACTGCTCTAAATAGCTTTATTAGCGGTAAATGGCTCGACACTTTAGTCTGGGCTCTAATATGGATAGTAAAGAGGCTATCTACAGGGTTTTGAATCAAAATTATAGTCTATGCTCCATGGTATCCGCTTTTTAGAACCCTATTATCTGTATGAAACTCAGAACTCCAAGGTCTGTAGTATATCTATAAGTAGTATCCCCTTTGAAGCCCGTACTCACTTATCACATCGTGTCCGTGGCAATCCAAATCCAGGTGATGGTTCATCACCAGCGATGGCTGTAATCCAGTTTGATTGTGGTTGTGATTGTGCAACGGTAGCTGGTGAGCCAAATGGCCACCAATCTCTGCCATTACCATATATTTGGCTGACAGGACACTCGGCGAAGCACACTCGAGATTTATCCGGGCTGCTGGGTGGGCTGCTGGGTTGGGAAATTCGGGTGGTTTTTGGCGGAAAACCGATCAGGAGGTTACGGACATTGAGCAGGGATATTGTAAGGCACTTGTTCGGGCAATTTTGCGAGATACTCGTGGGTATAGTTCCTTGGAAGCGTGGGCACACTGGGTACAACACTGTGATCGGTACTGGGTATCACACACGCGGAAGTTTGGCTGCGAGATGCTGCGGGAGGAGAGTCTGCGTATCCACAAAAAGGCGACGGCAATCCGGCGGATGTTATTGGCCTTGCTGGCCAAGTCGGCTGACGACGGCTCTGTAGTTTCAGTAACGACGACCGACGAGCCCTGGAACGGCGACGAAAGCGGCGGACGAGGTCTGGAGGCGCGGTTCGTGCGTACGATGCTCACTGTGCGGAGACTGAAGAACGACTAAACCGGTCGGCGGGCGCTGCGCTGGCCTCGGCGCCGCAAGCACTCACCCCGAAAAGTATCTGACGGATGCGCGGCCGGGTGCGAGAAGAGCGCAGCTAGCTGGTGCCGAGTCCCCCTCTTCCGCATCTCGCAGTCTTGCCTGCAGCGGCAGCAGCAGCAACAGCAACAGCACAGCGGCGGCGGCGGAGGCAGCTGCAACCGGTTGTGAGGCCTCATTGTTTTTCGGACATGTAGCTCGGGGAGTTCGAAACAGGAACAGGTGTTTTTGTCGCACTCGCTCCGGCATTGGCCGGATTCGCGCAGTAGCTGTGTCTCGCTCTCCGGCGGTCGGAGGGCCTGTTTCTAAATGGCGGCGAAGCGGGCCAATCGGTAGACTGGAGTGCGCATGACTTGCTCTGGGCCGTCAGTGGAGTCCACACGGTCCACAAATGGAGGCAGTCAGGAGCTGGACGGACTGGCTCCTGCCTTGCCCTCTGCCCACCCCCCTCTGTTGGCCTTTTGTTTTGCCAATTTCGCTTTTGGTTTTCGGAGTTTGTACTACAAAATGGTTGCACTTGTAAGCAAGCGCACCTCTCTCGCTCCTTTCGGGGCTTTTTTGTATCCATCCCGGCCATCCAGCCACCTACCCTCGAATTGTTGTAATGCGCTTGTCGAACTTTATGGCTGGCACCCACGCCCTAGCCCCTCACCTGGCCGCCGCTTCTTGACTTGGTTGCAAGAACTCCGGTTCCTGGTGCTTGCGGTTGCAAGGAGTCTCGTTTCGGGTGTGCTGCAACATCATAATAATTATTGATCTCTTGATTTTGTCTTTTGGTTTTCGGGCCCCAGTTCCAGTGGCCCCCTCAAGGCCCTGTTGCAATTTTAATGACGCCCACGCCCACACCCACGCCCAGGCCCTCGCCCCTTGTGGGCAGCCCGTACGATTGGCGCTGTGTGGGTGTCTGCGTTGCGGTTAGCAGTTCGTTGACTTGGCAGCACAGTTGCCACATTTTGTAGCCGATGATATGTTGTAATGTCAGTTAGCAGTATCGTTTGGCCTACACTGGGACAAATAGGGAGAGATATAGTTGTCCTTTTTGGGGAAAATGTGGAACTTAGAGTAGGGAAGTCTAGGCAGTGAGGTGACCTGACAAGGCCTGAACTACGGGGCTCATATTAAAGAGCTTTCAAGGCTTGGATTTCTGCAAGTGCCCTACTGCCCTCCTCATCTTTTCCATTTTTATTCGACGCTGGGTATTCCGAAGGAGTGGCTCTGGTGATTCGGTTGGGGAGGGTTGCTTCGCTTCTGATACTGCTGCTGGGTTGTATAATCAAGGTCATCGAGCTTCAGTTTCAGTTCGCCCGCCCCCCCTGCTCCGCTCGGGACACTCATTCATAGCCGTGTCTCAGTTAGCCAGACGCCGACATTAGTACGTACTTGTTACAGCGCCACCCACTGGGCCACCCTTCACCCACCACCCACTACCCACCACCCCTTCAGTACCGCAGCAACCCTCCAGCTGCGGAGCTTTCGCGCCATCTCCGTCGCACTCCCCCACGTACACACCCGACCGACGCAGACAGCGACAGCGACAGCTGGCCAGCAGAAACAGCTGACTGATGTCTGCCCCTGTGTATCTGTATCTGTATCTGTATCCGTGTATCTGTGTATCCGTGAGGCTCTGTGTGTGGCAGTGCTTACTGGCAACATGAATTCAAAATTTAATTAGGTCCCGTCCATTAATTGGGTTAATTGAAATGCCGGTAAAAGTCAACGCTTTCGAATTAGGACATGTCACTCTCGAGCCACTGTGGATCGATTTGGCCGAATGGCGTTCAACTTGTTGGTTTAAATGGTTTTTGGGCGGGAGATTTTAGTCCTGAAGGCTGTTTCCTAGCTACATCTCCCAGGATGAGCTGTTCTGGGAGCTGGGGTTTCTGTATTTCACTTTCGCTTCCCCTAATATTCCCAAACAGCATCTGCCCAAGCAGATCCTTGTTTTCGCAGCCCGAAATGCAAATGTAAACAGAACCCTGCCCCTAAGACGGTTTAGGCCATTGACGAGGCTGCTCCCTGGTGCCACCCCGAATGATTTGCCAAAAAGAACTGGCCAGGAATTTTATGCAAATAGAGGAGGCCGGGAGGACACCTACACAAACAGAGGTGTGCAAGTCTTCCACCCGCTTGTGGCTCATTTAATTTTCGCACTTTGGCGGATCCGGAGCCGGGTCCGGATGCGGGGCAGATGCCAAATGAAATTCGGAATAAACGCTGCCATGTGTAGTTGCGGTTGGATTACACTACTGGGAGGAGGAGGAGGGCCGGGAGGCGCCATCTGAGCGTTGCTGAAATCTAATTTCGAATGTCTGCCAACTCTTTAGAGCCCTTTGTCTGCTTTCCGAACGGAGCTCCGGTGGAGTTTCCCTTTTGCATGACGTAGCAGATTATTTATTGTGTGAGGTTGTTGCTTTAGTATTTATGCAGTGTTTGCTGGATATTTATGCGCAGGAAGAAATAATGTTTGAAGTCCTGAACCTGAAGAATGCTCCTTTCTCCTACGTCCTTTCCTTGCTTTCCTCAAGAGGTAAACCTTTGAAAGTCCTTCCCAAACCCAAACCCACTTTGAGCTTCCTTTTCTCCAAGTGTGTGAAGGTAAGCATTTGTATCTGGCCTGTGGGTCCACCCACTCCTTCCTCCCTCCTCGGCCCACCCCTCACCACCACCTGCCATTCTCGCATGAGCAACAGAACACAACAGGAGAGAAACAGGAGCAAAGCACACAACAAAGTCCAGGAGTTGACTTTTATAGAGTCGCATGCACAATAAAGAAGTCTATTATCCTTTTTGCCAGCCAGTTTTGTTGTTGTTTGTGTTGCTGTTGCTGTTGTTGTTGGTGCTGCGACGACGACGACGACGACGACTCCGGGATCGATATCCATTAGGAAAATTAAAATTGTGGCAGAGGCAATGAACGTAAAAAGCGGAAGCAGCCAGCCCGACCAGTCATTCAGTCATTCAGTCAGTTAGTCAGTCAGCCAGTCAGCCAGCTAGGCCAACGGCGAAGTAAAAAGGCAACCCAGAGGTCGATACTACGGAGAGCGCTTCCCAGGGTTTATTTTGGTCCGGTTCCGGTTCTGTTTGCAGAACTCAAGGTTCTCCGATTCTGTTTCTTGGGCAGCCCACTTCCGTTTCCGACAGTCCTACGTGCTCCTGATTCAAAGGACCTTCTCCCGCAAATAATACATCGAAAGTCACTGCAATGTTACTTTAATATTTCAGCTATATGATGTGGTATCTAATATATTTGTTTGAAAACTAATATTGGAACTGTGGCTTAAAAGGGTATTTAAGAGTCCTTCTTAGCGGATATCTATTTTCTATTTGAATTTTGTTTATTGTTGATTTTGAATTAAGTTCCACTCCCCCAGTCGCTCTTAGTAGTTTCCTGTTTCTGTTGCAAGTGTCATTGTTGTTTTTGCTGTTTGTGCCTGCCATTTTGCAGCTGTCATTCGAGTTTCCTCGCTTTCCCTACCACTCTTGGCTCCTGGCTCCGAAATCCTGTTTCGCTTTTGTTTTTCGGGCAACGCGTGCGCGACATTTTCATTGTTAACGCTTTGTTGTTTTAGTAGCTGTTTTTGTTGCCACTGCCACTGCTATTGCCACTGCCACTGCCACTGCTGCGGCAGCCGCAGGAAAACTCATCTGTCATTCAAAGTCACCGAGCGTGCAATTTTCCGTTATCATGACTTTTTCAATTCCTATTTTCGGCATCCGCATGCAGATTGCAACTGAAGCTCCCGCCACCCAGCCACCCAGCCCCCCAAATTCCGCACAAGCGTTGCACATGTTTGCATTTCAATTTGATTGGAAAATATATTTCATTGGGCCGCCTGTGCGTCAGAATTTTCCGAGCATTTCCAATATGCAAAACCAAACAATCAACAGCAACAAGGACAACCAGGACGAACAACAACAGCGAGGACGCCGCAGTCAACTGCCAGTCAAGCGCGGCCTGTCGGGCTTTTGGCCTGCAGTTTGTTAAATGTTTAAGCAGGGGCTTTAGTTTTGGGCGGGCTCGGCTTCGGGGCTTCCAAATTGTTGGCTGAGGGAGCAGGTCCTGGTGGGTGTAGATAGCCTCCCGCTACAATGAGAACATAGTTTTTAAACAGAATCCTTACTCTACCTATTCTGAAATGTACATTTTTAAAAATCGACCAACCCTCTGGTTTGGTAGTCCCGTGACTCCCACATATCCCCACCCACTGGGAGCCACATGCTGAAATAGAACGTCCTCCACCGCACCAGCTCAGTGGAGCATAATTTTTGCGGTTCCTTTCAAGTTTGCATATCAATCGAGAATTTATATGACGGCAGGACTCTCTCGCCGTCTCCCTCGCTCTGCTCCTGGCGCAGTGCAAACATTAAGAGTGTGGTGGGTGGGAGAGGGTCCTGGGTGTTTGTGCGCGCGCATACATTTGCAAGTGGTTTATATGCAAATCCAAAGGATGGGGACGGGGGACTAGTCTGCCCCCCACAGGCCACCCACTCGGCCATAAAAAGAGAGCTGGAAGGGCCAGCAGATGGGCTTCAAGTCGAGGTCCTCGCAAAGTCAAGAGTATGAAGCCGCACACCTCGGGTCAAAGCCGGAATTCCTATTTAAGAGTATTATTTATTCCTATCAGGCCTTGTGTTTGTGGGCCCCTCCTCTAGGCCAACCGCACTTGCAAGTGTTAACTGTACGCCATATTAAAAATGGCGGCAAGTCCTGCTGTCGGGGCAACAAACAAAAAAGGTACAAAGCCCGGCAAGCGCTGCCTGCAACCTGTCTTCGTGGGGCAACCCTCGCCCCCACGCTTCCACCCCAGCCTGCGGCCCACTGGCACTTGCTACCCTTTTGCGCTGCTCCAGTTGTTGTCCTTGTTGTTGTTACCGCTGCCGGCACCTGCCACCAAAGCTTTTGTTTGCCTGTGTGTGTGTGTTTGCTTGCCGCCGTGGCCGTGTCCGTGTGGGGTGGGCGGGGGCTGCGTG